AGAAAAACCAGCCGGACTTTTTAAAAAAAATTTACTATACAGTATGAAAGGGTGTAGAAACTATTTACAAAATGTAATGCTTTTCAAACGTTTCTCACAAGCACTTTATTTGTAATCGTGTTGTCACAGATTGGAATAAGTTACGAAAAAAGTGTCAACCCAAAATGTGAACCAGTTCAAAAATAATAATTAGATAATCATTTTCCGAACTGCAAAAGCAGTAACTAGTGGGCACAAACAGTATACAGGCATTATCAGTTGTCTCAACTGCCTGCGTGCTGATGTATAGTAATAATAAATAGATAATCATTTTCTGAACTGCACAAGGAGTAACTAGTGGGCACAAACAGTATACAGGCATTATCAGTTGTCTCAACTGCCTGCCTGCTGATGTATAGTAATAATAAATAGATAATCATTTTCTGAACTGCACAAGGAGTAACTAGTGGGCACAAACAGTATACAGGCATTATCAGTTGGCTCAACTGCCTGCCTGCTGATGTATAGTAATAATAAATAGATAATCATTTTCTGAACTGCACAAGGAGTAACTAGTGGGCACAAACAGTATACAGGCATTATCAGTTGTCTCAACTGCCTGCCTGCTGATGTATAGTAATAATAAATAGATAATCATTTTCTGAACTGCACAAGGAGTAACTAGTGGGCACAAACAGTATACAGGCATTATAAGTTGTCTCAACTGCCTGCCTGCTGATGTATAGTAATAATAAATAGATAATCATTTTCTGAACTGCACAAGGAGTAACTAGTGGGCACAAACAGTATACAGGCATTATCAGTTGTCTCAACTGCCTGCCTGCTGATGTATAGTAATAATAAATAGATAATCATTTTCTGAACTGCAAAAGGAGTAACTAGTGGGCACAAACAGTATACAGGCATTATCAGTTGTCTCAACTGCCTGCCTGCTGATGTATAGTAATAATAAATAGATAATCATTTTCTGAACTGCAAAAGGAGTAACTAGTGGGCACAAACAGTATACAGGCATTATTAGTTGTCTCAACTGCCTGCCTGCTGATGTATAGTAATAATAAATAGATAATCATTTTCTGAACTGCAAAAGGAGTAACTAGTGGGCACAAACAGTATACAGGCATTATCAGTTGTCTCAACTGCCTGCCTGCTGATGTATAGTAATAATAAATAGATAATCATTTTCTGAACTGCACAAGGAGTAACTAGTGGGCACAAACAGTATACAGGCATTATTATCATTGTCTCAACTGCCTGCCTGCTGATGTATAGTAATAATAAATAGATAATCATTTTCTGAACTGCAAAAGGAGTAACTAGTGGGCATATACAATATACAGGCATTATCGGTTGTCTCAACTGCCTGCCTGCAAATATATAACAATAATAATAATAAATTTATTTTAGAAACAGCTTAGAAGCGACCACCTCATTCTCAGGGGTTATTATCAACCATGCATTAATTTATATCATAATAGCCGTTTTTATAGTTTTTGTTTAATAAAATATTCAAGCTTGGTAATAGAGACCTTGTATATTTTCTGGGACTTTGTTGTAAATAGCGTGTGGCCGTGGTAGGAAAAGGGGAGATCTCCCGCCGGGCAAGGTGTTCTGCCCGGGGAGCGGCCAACACTCCGAGTGATAATTCGGAGAAGTTCTATATATGCTGTTTATGATTCGGAATGTTGATAGTGTGATTTAAGCTTCGGTGTATTTCGCTTGTGGCGCGACGACAGCGCCGCTACATCACCCCCTGCTCAGACCGGAGGTCGATAGTGCAGTCTTGTTGTCGACGAATGTGCAAGTGCCAGGAGATTGCCTTGTAGTCTGCGGTGAGTCGAGAAGAAGGCAAGTAATCTGCGAGAGTGCCGTGAAGCAGAGGCGAGCAGTAAGGCTCAGAGCCGTGCTGAACACTGTAGCGCAGAGTGTAGCTTGAAGGAACAGGAAGCATTATTATTCCAGTGCTGCGATGAACCTTGTGAAGCTAGATGGCTTGCAGGATATGAAGATTGCAGACAATATCTGCTCGGGAGCGAATGGGTGGGGTATTCTATGACGTTGATGAAGCTTGAAGTTTCCGAAGGTTGTTGGTTGCGTGTTCAGATCACGTCGGTTAGTCACCACTGTGGCCGAAGTAGGAAAAGGGGAGATCTCCCGCCGGGCAAGGTGTTCTGCCCGGGGAGCGGCCGACACTCCAAGTGATAGTTCGGAGATGTTCTATATATACTGTTTATGATTCGGAATGTTAATAGCGCGATTTAGCCTTCGGTGTGTTTCGGTGTGCTAGTGGCGCGACGACAGCGCCGCTACATCACCCCCCTGCTCAGACCAGAGGTCGATAGTGCAGCCTCGTTGCCGACGAATGTGCAAGTGCCAGGAGATTGCCTTGTAGTCTGCGGTGAGTCGAGAAAAAGGCAAGTAATCTGCGAGAGTGCCGTGGAGCAGAGGCGAGCAGTAAGGCTCAGAGCCGTGCTGAACACTGTAGCGCAGAGAGTAGCTTGAAGGAACAGGAAGCATTATTATTCCAGTGCTGCGATGAACCTTGTGAAGCTAGATGGCTTGCAGGATATGAAGATTGCAGACAATATCTGCTCGGGAGCGAATGGGTGGGGTATTCTATGACGTTGATGAAGCTTGAAGTTTCCGAAGGTTGTTGGTTGCGTGTTCAGATCACGTCGGTTAGTCACCACTGTGGCCGAAGTAGGAAAAGGGGAGATCTCCCGCCGGGCAAGGTGTTCTGCCCGGGGAGCGGCCGACACTCCAAGTGATAGTTCGGAGAAGTTCTATATATACTGTCTATGATTCGGAATGTTAATAGCGCGATTTAGCCTTCGGTGTGTTTCGGTGTGCTAGTGGCGCGACGACAGCGCCGCTACAAGCGTAAACATTGCCCCAAGAATGAATTACTATGGAGTCCAGAAACTGACTTTGACTAGCTTGTGTATTCCTAATGTTTATAGTGTATATAACTTTTTTTACTAAAACTATATTTGTTTTTGTGAACATACATTACATGTTCGTAAATGTAGTTATTTCTTTAATTTTTCCTCTATGAGACTCTCGGTTTCAGGTTGTAAATAGATCTTATGGCCCTCTACTACGAAACAAATCTAATAGTAAATTTTTTGTAGCTTTTAACAGATACAGGCATAATCATCTAATACATAGCAGTGTATGGCTACCAAGTGTATAAGATTAGGAGAAGCCTTCTCTAACATGAAAGAAGTCTATTTTTAAGCAGTAAACATATACATATATAATGTTATATCTATAATCCCTAAAGATGTAGACAACGTCCAAAGAGCAGTGAGGACAATGTTTAGCCAAATAATATGGGTTTAGAAATTATGAAAGTGATAGGTAGCTAACCCGTAGTCTACACAATCAAATGCCCAGTGTCCTATTAGTCACCTTCTACGACATGCTAGGCATGTAACACAGTTGACATATTCTTTTTTTAGATGTCCCACATGAATATGGCACTTATAACTCCCAGACAAACACTAAATATGCTAGATCTTAATGTCTTTCATTTTAGCATATATACAATCTCATTTTCAAAGTTGTAAAAATTTATACTTAAAATAAATTCACCAAAGACATACTTCATCGTAGCAATTTTCTCTATGGAAATAATATTGTGAACACTATGTAACATTTATTATTATTATGATATATCGACGATATGAGTATATTGTAAACACTATGTAACATTTATTATTATTATGATATATCGACGTTCTTAAGTACTTTGTTTAAAGTCTACATGAATAAAGACATTTGATTTGATTTGGAGTACACAAACTTAAAACAATATACTTTTCTATTCATTGAAGTTTCCAAAATACTTGTCAAATGAGCAAACAGTCTAACTGATGATAAGTGGATGCTGTGGCCCATAGACATCTACAACTATCTCTAATTAAGAATTAAAATGCAGATGCGTTGTCACCCCTGAGAATTAAAACATTCCAGTCTTGTTTCCAGTAGAATGGGTCTCCAGTTCTCTACACTCACCATACGAAACCATAGCAGCATTGAGCAGATTTTATGCTAGTATTCTGTGAGAATGTGGTCCTACACTCGTTAAGCTGGCCCATTCTTGCTACAACCATAATATAGCTGCAGCGTGGATTTACCACGTAAAACCATATCCACCAACATACCATGTAAAAATCATGTCTATCATATATTTTTAACAAGCAGATGTAACTCTATAGATTTAAGCTTATTTTGCACTATTGATATGAATATTATACTATAACAATTGCAGAACACAATACAGATTAAAAATAATTGAAATTTAATTGATAAGAGTTTGTAATGAAGGATGAGAAACATTAAAGTGGGTCTACGCTAGAGGAGCCGAGCACGAGCAGAACATGAAACGAGCACAAATTCATGTAGTGTGGACCAACTTACTAACCTCGAACGTTCATGCTCGACTGTGCTCCACCTATTGTCGGTATTTTAACGAACATAAAGAGATTTGCATGTTGTAGGCTCGTTGTACGTCCACACTTGACACTGCGAGTAGAGCGACTCTGCTTGAGTTCAGCTCATGCTCGGCTCCTCTAGTGTAGAACCACCTTTATATGCCATTCTAGCATATGCTAAGCCCTTCTTTTTCTGTTTCCTAAAGTTGATTGGTACAAAGCGCCAGATAGTGTTAAATCTACTCTCTAATTTAAATTTAATATATACAAGAACTGACCATTTTAGTGGAAGTATAAGACTATCTACTAACCCATATTGTCTCCTAGATGTCGTAAGAGGCGACAGAGGAAAACCAGGAGATGGACAGACCGCAGTTGCCAACCTGACAGCCAACCGTGGCAACTATGGCAAATATTCGACTAATGAGATAGTCTAGTAGGGAGGGCTACATTCAGCAGTTGACGTTGATAGGCTATAATTAAAATAAATGCAAAAATTTGTTGTAAAAAATCGCGAACTATCTATGGATATAATAAACATGTAAAAAATCCTAATGAACCTACCTTTAGAAACAGCTTTAGATGTTTTAGGTTTCTCTTCCGATTTAGTTACTTTGGCCTTCTTATCGCTTTTTACAACTACAGCATTCTTCCTTGGCCGCCCTCGTTTGCCTTTTACCGGTAAAGTAGTTACGGTTATGTCCTCGGTTACATGTTCTATTGATTCATCTTCTTTTTGGAGATCTGCAAAATACAGCCAATGCCACTATTATATAACAATTTATTAAAAATAGAAAACATCCACCAGTCCATTGTTGAACATGGACCTCTCTGATAGATTGCATCATAGGGGGGATTTTGCCATAGTTGCCACGCATAGCGGGCAAGCTTTATAGGCTCTTACGACACTCACCAGACGATATGGGATAGTGGATATTCTTACATCACCACTACACGGTACAAAAGCATACATCTGGTATGTTTAGCATGAATCTGCTAAACATACCAACCGTAGAGTGCCCTGATTGTAAAGCAAGCTTCAACGCCAAATAATCTAGCTGTTTATTGACAAAGGGCTGATTGCAGGTGAAAACACAAATAGCAAAACTTAAAAAATAATTTGTTTAATTGAAACAATACACCATCTCTGTCATAAAAGAAATTGATGAAGTGGTTTTTTGTCTCCTGAAGACTTTGTAAATTTAAATTGTCATGTTTATAAAGATAACATATTATAACTGTGTCTATTATCATCGTCATTACAGCCATTTACAAATCTGCTGCTGAACATATACCTCTCTTAAGGAATGTAACAAAGCACGGTCCTGAGTCACCTGCATCCATCGACATCCTGCATGTTTTACCAGATCAACACTTCATCTAGTGGATGGACGCCCAAACATCGCCTACCGGTACGAGGCTGCCGCTTAAGAACCTTTCTTCCCCATTTGTTGTCGGTCTTTGAGCCATATGGCCGGCCCATTACCACTTTAGCTCAATAATTTGTTGGGCTGTGTCAGTTACTCAGGTTCTACTGTGGATATCCTCATTTCTATGTTTATCACGCAGAGAAACTTTAGGCTTAGCCCTTTCCATAGCTCGCATAGTATCTATTATATATATATGTTCAATTAGACAAACATTATATGAAATGAAAACTTTTTGACACAAGAAATTAAATTTCGTTTGTCATACGTCAACCCATCTGGTCAAGTGTTATAACTATTACAAATATGGGGGATATTTCTTTATAGAATAACATAAGCACACAGTTCTCCACACTCACCTTACAAAACATAGTAGCACTAAGCTGCTATTTTATAGTGGTATTCAGTGAGAATATGATCCTTCACCGATCGAGCCGATCCATTCATGTTGCAGCAGCCATAATATTTATATATATATATATATATATATATATATATATATATATATATATATATATATATATATATATAAATTACGTGTCACGTTGTTTGTCCGCGATGGACTCAACTACTTAACCGACTTTTAATCTAATTTGAACACCGTGTGCAGTTTAGTCCAACTTGAGAGATAGGATAGTTTTTTTTCCCATGAGTGACCCACAATTATTTTTTGCTAATTTAAGGATTTTTAATAGGACATGACAAAAGGTCGTCGAAAAGTGTAGAACAACGTCTGCCTGGCAAGCTAGTTTATATATAGAATAAGGGTGACAAACAAGCAAACAGCACTTGGTAGTAAGTAAATGCTTTTTTTAATTATATACCTATATCTATCCTCGATTAAGAATCAAAATGCAGATACTGTTTCACCCCAGAGGACTAAGGACTAAAATAGAATGCCTTACAAACCTCACAAAACACAGTAGTAGTACAGTAGCACTAAACTGCTATTACACGCTGATATTCTATAAAACTATGGTTCTATGAATCAAAATGGAGATGCGTTATCACCCTTGAGGACTAAGATGGAGTGCTTCGCTTCCACTAAAAATGGTCTGCGGTTCTCTACTCACCTTAAGCTGTTATTTTACGCTGGTAAACTCTGTGGACGTTGTCTCCTACCTTAGTCGAACCGACCCATTTGAGCTACAACTAATATAACTGCAGTGCAGTGTGGCTTTACCACGTCTAACATATACATAACATTTACGATTTTGAAAGCTGCCAGCATTAGGGTGCAGTCTTTACCCTTGGAAAAAATGTCTTCACGTATGTAAAATGCCTGCATGCTGGCATTAACTGTTGAGCTCCTGCACCTTTGATATTCAATGAAATCTATATTTCTAGGATGCAGGACTTCTCTTCTGCTTAAAAAGTATGTAAAAGGGCTATAAGAACTGCAGTAGTATCACCAGCAGTACTTTTACTGCATTATTATCTATGAAACATCCTGCAGAGTATATATTGGCAATATTGCTGCAACTGTATGGCAGAGCAATTGAGTTTATAAATGTGAAGCAATGTTGAGGCTATAGGTTAAGCCAGGGGTTCCCAAAGTGTGCGCCGCAGCCCCTTGGTATGCCATAGAGAGCAAAGACGGGGCCGTTGAGTGCTTTTTTTTTATAGGATAGGGTGACAAACGAGCACACAGTCCACCTGATGGTAAGTGGTTTCTGTGGCCCATAGTCATCTACATCAATCCTCAATTACGAATCAAAATGCAGATGCGTTGTCACCCGTGAGGACTAAGATGGAATGCCTCATTTCCAGTAAAAAAGGTCTCCGGTTCTCTACACTCACCATACGAAATACAGTAGCATTAAGCTACTATTTCACGCTGGTATTCTGTGAGAGCGTGGTCCCTCCCCGGTCGAGCCGACCCATTCGAGTTACAATTATACTTCTAATATAACTGCAGCATGGCTCTACCAAATTCTTCTTTACCAAAGGTTTCTATTTATCATTCTCCAGAAACATTCATGCTTTTGTTCCTAAATTGTATAAAAAAGCATTATTTTGTAAAACGAATAACTTACCATCTTCATATTCCAAATCCGCTTCAAGATACTCCACATCTGGCTCCTCAACCTGCTGTGGTATTTCCATATTTGTTTCAGCTTTTACAGGACTTTGATAGACTAATACTGTAATATTTAAAAATAATATCTTATCAACTGTACTAACTATGTTAACTGTTTAAAAGAATCGAACCCGGGTTGCTCATATACTGTGAAATTTACAGTGAGCTGAGCTATCACTGCTCACGGATATAAATTATTACTGGTTCCAGAATTAAGTTTCAAATACAAAGAAAACACAATCATCATCAAAAAAGATCATCATATTATTAATGAATATAAAATTTTATTGAACATCGAATTACATATTTAATTAGCAAATTTTTTAAATCTGGTAACACTGATGTTCGCATGCCATATTATGTATTGTCAATTGCTATGTAAGTGGTCCCATTTAATTAAATTTGATTTTAATTTTGCAGAGTATTTTTTTATTTGTTTTCTAAACAGGATTCATGAACAGAACCAAATCACAATACTTAAAAGCATCCTAACAGATCTGACCAGATTTCCTTTTGTATTAAATGATTACGACTTCCTTTTTATCTGTCCCATATTTATATGGTTTTTACTGCCTCGGTCTATTAACAAAGTTGCTGATCATGAGGTCTTGGGTTCCCATCCCATGTTAGGCCATGCGTTTAAAGCCAATGGCCAGGCGCCTGATATCTCCCTGGTTGTGTCGGATAAACGCCCCATTGGACAATGAGATTGAAGGACTAGAGAGCAGCTATGCTTGCTCATTCACAAAGGCACTATTATCATATTTTGCATAGATGGCTAGTCTCTATTGAGATGGGCTACACTACATTAATATATTTTATCCATCTACTTATCATCTTCTCACAATAGTTTTTATTTTAAAGTTACATTAGAAGTTTCATAAGCGAAACTGAACTTGTAATGTTGTTCATGAGAAGATGAGTTTATTTATAACCAGTTTCCATAGTAGTAAAATTATATATTATTATCCTATACCTTTAAACGAGCAATTCTTGTATATATATAATCGATTTCTCGGAAACGGCTCCAACGATTTTCATAAAATTTGTGTCCAGGGGGTCTCGGGGGCAATAAATCGATCTAGCTAGGATTCATTTTTAGAAAATGTCGTTTTGCCCGTGTAAATTTTGACACTGTATTAATGATCGTAATAGCTCAAGTGGATATTGCGCCGTCTTGAAATCGTAGCGCCCTGGTTCGCGTTCTGTCTTCGGTCTGACTTTTTTTCCTTTTTTTTCAAATTCCCTTCTTTTGTGAGAAAATCTATAATTTCGAGCCCTTTTTTTAGTATTTTTTAAAAATACGAAAATTTAAATTAAACCAATTGCAGTCATGATTTTTTATTCAAATAACCAGTTCAGTTTTTTCTATTATGTCAATAAGATCAAAAAATATTATTCATGTTTCATCAGTGTGTAATTTGTATCTAAATATAATTTCCAAAACACATGATTTCCAAAAAAAAAATACAGAGGAAAGCTCGGTCATCCAGGTAGTTATTATAAAAGGCAGACATAAAAACTTTATGGAAAACAAAATACTAGTTCTATGAATTACAAACGGTTTAAATTTGTTTCATTTCTAGTAGTCTTCAAATATATATGATTTTTACATTCTTTATATATGAAAATATATTTTATAATAATAATTAATACATAATAAAACAGATTGCAACAAAGAACAAAGTGTTTCTTTAATATAGTGCAGCTTTAGAACTGACAGTTTTGTTTTGTAGAACACAAATTGAGATTAAATACATAGGTCTTAAATACATTAACAGTTACAGCCTATAATATATGAGGTCTCTTCTCATTTCCGAGAATGATTTGGGGCAAGGGAATATCTACCGCGCTGCCCCAATGTTGACGAATGTTGCATGTTGACGAAATTTCTCAGACATGCAGGTTTCCTCACGACGTTTTCCTTCACTGCCAAACATGTGGTAAAACAGCACTTAAAATTGCAATTAACAATTTCATTGGTGCCAGTGGGGATTGAACCAGATTGCTTGCATATTGTGTGTAAATTTACAGCGAGCGCTTATCCCCTGAGCTACCATGGCATAAACTGTTTGACTAGTTAAATACTTATATTAATTAAATATTTAAGTAACTAAAAAAGTAGTAACAGCAAAAATTTAGTTCATTAATTTCGATAATATTTCTCATCCTATTTTGTAGTTTTTTAGGCTTACCTTTCGGTTTAAAAGCGCCACGACCCATCATATCTACAAATTTCTTCTCTGATGCCAGCACCTGCTTCTTGAAATTGCAGGCATCTCTTAACCTAGTAATGCACACCTCACAGATCAACCTGTTGGGACCATTTGGTCCTTCATTGTGTTGAGATATCTGAAAAAGAAAAGTGATAAAACTAAAAATCGGAATCTCGGAAACTGTTCCAACGATTTTCATAAAATTTAGTGTCTAGGAGTTTTTTTTTTTTATAGGATAGGGTGACAATCGAGCACACAGTCCACCTGATGGTAAGTGGTTGCTGTGGCCCATAGACATCTACATCTATCCTCGATTACGAATCAAAATGCAGATGTGTTGTCACCCGTGAGGACTAAGATGGAATGCCTCGTTTCCAGTAAAATGGGTCGCCGGTTCTCTACACTCACCATACGAAATACAGCAGCATTAAGCTACTATTTCACGCTGGTATTCTGTGAGAGCGTGGTCCTTCCCCGGTCGAGCCGACCCATTCGTGCTACAAATATACAACTAATATAACTGCAGCATGGCTCTACCACGTATAAAATGGTTTCGGGGACAATAAATCGATCTAACTAGGATTCATTTTTAGAAAATGTCCTTTTGTCCGCGTTTTCAGACAGCGAAAAACTGCTACAATATAAGAAGGTAAACAGTGTATTAATGATCGTGATAGCGCAAGTGGGAAATCGGTCGGTCGCGAAATCGAAGTGCCGTGGTTCGCGTCCTGTCTCTGGTCCGACTTGTTTTCCTTTTTTTTCAAATTCCCTTCTTTTGTGAGAAAATCTATTATGTCTAGCCCCTTTTCTAGTATTTTTTTTAAAAATACGAAAATTTAAATTAAACTAATCGTAATCATGATTTTTTATTCAAATAACCAGTTCTGTTTTTTCTATTATGTCAAAAGATAAAAAAAATATTATTAATGTTTTATCAGTATGTAATTTGTATCTAAATATAATTTCCAAAAAAAAAAATACAGAGGAAAGCTCGGTCATCCAGGTACTAACAATTAAATGTGATTTTTTGCCTACCAATCGACTTTTACGACTGTGTGGTACAGTAAAATCAGTTAAAATAATGCATTATCATGCATTTTGAATTAAAAAGATAAAAAGGAGAGAATGTTTCAAGATTACTTTTTCATAATTACTTATTATGAAGCTTCTCAGCAAATTTGGCTGGTTATTGCAAAATAAACTCTATTTCAAGTGTATTAAGAAAAAAATAAGGAATGATTAAAAAGATAAGGTTTCAGACAAAGCACAATAGGACAAAGTCAAGGGAATAAGTGTGTGGCATAGATATGGAGGATAACACATCATTGAAATTAATAGATACATATCTTTTTGACCAAAAAGATGTGTATCAGTAGATTATTTCGATTAATAGTTTTAATAATATTGATAAACAATAGTACATAATTCATGTCCGATCTAAGAGAGCGGTACTATAAGTATAATATTTTATTTACTTATAGATTTTGTATAGAAGTACTCATTTATATGTTTATTATTTATCCTATATTATATATTAGATATTAAGTATGTATATTTTACTAACTATATCTATTCTATCCATTTGCATTTTATTTTGTTTTATATCCTTATTATTTATTTATAAAGTGATTGATTACACCTGTCAGTTTCTCTTAATCATTCAGGGTTGACTGGCAGAGAATGCCATAAGGAATTAAGTCCGCCCTTTACATCCCTTAGTATAAGGTGTATAATAAAGATTAAATAAAATAAGTTTGACTGCTGTGTGTCCTTCTGTCTGTGGCACTGTAGCCCTTAAATGGGTGAACTAATTTGGGTGTTTTTTTTTTATTTAAAAGCAGATTTTCTAGCAGTGGTTCTTAGACATGTTTTATCAAAATCAGGTCCGCCTGTTTGAAGATCATCAACTTTTTTGTTTCGGAGATTTTTTAAAAATTACAATTATAGTTACATAAATCTTTAGTATCGGTATTTCAGTAATAGTTGAATTTTTGGAAATGACTAAATGCATCATAATACTGTACAAACAATCTTTCGTTTAGTGGTTGTAAATGTGACTGATGATCTTGGAGTCCATCGGAATAAGTGAGGGAATCGAGAGTACACCTATACTTGCCCATAAACTTGGGTACTATAATCCCGTCCAGCTCAAATGGTTAGGCTCATTGAGACTGGCTGCCATGACCTAAATTCGATCCAGAGGACATTATACCACCAATCATATTCATTTACATTAGTTAGTTACAGCCTATATACACACTGCAGGGCACAGGCCTCCCCTCATTTCTGAGAGGGCTTTAGGGCAAGTAAGTGTCCGCCGCGCTGCCCCAATGCATGTTGGCGAACTTCACATGTCTTCAAATTTTTTTTCTTATTTCTCAGACATGCAGCTTCCCTCACAATGTTTTCCTTCACCGCCGAGCATGTGGTAGATCAGAACTTAAAATTACAATTAACAATTTTATTAGTGCCGGTGGGGACCGAACCTGGTTTGCTTGCATACTGTGAAATTTACAGGGAGCTCTAACCATCTGAGCTACCATGGCTCTTTACATATTATATTTCAATACAAGTATAGTATCTGAGCAAGAACAGTCTAATAGCAAGTGAAATAGTTCATTTGTATCATCATGAGTGACGCTCAGTTTAGTAAGTGAAACTGTCCAAATTCTTAATTTTATTCAACAAATGTTGCAAACTGCATAGCACTGTATGTATGTGTTTATATTCCACCACTTTTGTTATAAAAATTTTAAAGTAAAAATTATTATAACAAGCTAATGTAGCTATAGGCCTATATTCTCTTAACTCATAAGCTAAAAGATGAATCCAATAAGAATAGCTTTATAATGATTTAAATTGATCAAATTTGTAAAAACAAATGAAAACACATTAAAGAATAAAAAAGTTTACTTTAAATACTTACACTTATATCGAAACATTCCAATAACATATCGGCATAAACTTCTGTATCATCCATCCAAGTATATTCCGTACCCAAGTCTTTGTAACAACCTTCGGAAAGACAGCACCGGCATAGTCCCGGGCTTTCTTTCACGACGATCTCATCAAATTCCATTTTGGTATTAACTGATCATTTTTACTTAACTCCAAAATATTACAAAAAATCCTAAAGAATAAATTCAAAACTACCTATTCTTTTAAGCTTGACGCCATTTTATTTATGAAAATGAAACAAGATGCTTAGTGATGGGTCAACTCGATTTACTAATTCAAGTTAACTCGAGTTGCGTCAACTCGAACTATCTCGAGTCGGATAATCACTAACTCAAAAATTATAAAGTTACAGTGATACTTTTTGTGGTTCGGTCAATGTATATTACACTGACCTCTATATATACAAGTACGCTGTATATATAGAGGTCAGTGGCATATTATAATACACTACACTATCACTAGGTTCGGTGGTGTGACAGACTGATACGATATGACTGCGATGACGAAGTTGGATGTAAAAACAAATTTAATTGTAATAAATTGTTCGAGTTCAATTTACTCCGAGTTGGAATTTCTTTAATGATGCTATGATGGGAACAGTACTGACTATAAATACATACGTAATTAAAGTCAAATGACTTTAACTTATAGTAATTACCTTGTACTTTTTTTTTTACTAAATGTCATTATATCTATTGTAATACTATAAAACTGACATGGAGAATAATTAATAGTGAAAATATTAAGGTCAGTCTCACAATTCAAACAAGTGATGTTGCGGATGAAGAATTTTCTACATCCACGGATGCGGCTATTGAAGCTTGCATTCACGGACGAAAATGTGAATGTGGATGTCAATGTTTTAAAAGATATACTTATTTTAACTACATGAAAACGATGTTAATTCCATATATGTATATTTTTTTAAATTAATAATCAAAATTTTAGTATCTAAATTATAAAAATTGGTTTAACAATAACAATATTGCAATATGTAGGAAAAAACATTTTTTTTCGGCTCTTTTTTCATGTATGGGACCTCTCTTGAAAAATACTTAAATTGAATTTATAATTCAATATTCGATGTATCCAAATGCTTTTCTGGAACTTTTCCTATCCACGAATTACAGATCCGTAAAATACAAATAGACAAATAGACAGATAGATATCAGAGTGACATCAATAGGTCTCCGTTATACACAACAAAATATGTTTATGTTTATAAAATAATAAACTTCATTCATTTTATTATTCTCACGATGTTTTCCTTCACTGCCGACCACGTGATAAATCAGCACTTAAAATTACAATTAACAATTTTATTGGTGCCAGCGGGGATTGAACCCAGTTTGCTCGCATACTGTGAATTACGGTGAGCGTTAACCATCTGAGCTACCACGGCCCAAACGTACGTGTCTGAGAAATAAGAAAAAAAAACTATTTCGAAGACATGTGAAGTAGAGATGGGTCGTACTTGCAAAATTGAGTACCAGGGCTTCCAAGTAAGTCCACCAAAATCAAGGCTCGAAATACTTTCAAGTATTTTCTTTCTGCATCAAAAATTGATCCGTAAGATCACATAAATAAGGAATGCAACCGCATATGCTAAAATAGTAAATTTTCAATCCTTGTTTGAAGAAAATACTCGCATAAAATATTGATCCGTCACTGTATACAAATAAAGAGCACAATCGCGTTTACAAAAAAACTTCCGAACCTTTAAAATTTCCAACTTTCAAGCCTTGTTGGAAGAAAAATACATGCATAAAACGTTGATCCGTAACTATATACAAATAAAAAGCACAATCGCGTTTACATAAAAAATACTTCCAATCCAGTAAAGTAAATATACCTTAATCCGTACAGAATATAATATATAAGGAGCAGAATCGCGTCGAGTGTCGACAGAGCGAGAATATACAAATACTTTGAAGTCTTGCGAGTACTTTAGGTCGGCATTTGGTAGGCGTACTTGCAAGTAAATACCTGGTATAAAAACCAGGTCACGTAAATATTCCCTAATTCGCCAACACGCATTCGGGCAGCGCGGCGGACAATTCCTTGAAATAAACCCCTCTCACAAATGAGCAAGAGACCTGTGTCCAGAAGTGGGGCTAATATATATAACGTAGCTACTACGCTAGCCAAAACAAAAGTAGAGTTGTTGATAGTGAAGTATCCTTTACTTCACTATCCGGGACGTACATAAAAGCGTCAAGTTTTATAAAACTGACATCTAGGGACATTTGCGGTACTTTTTGTAAGTTTTGTTTTTTGGGATCTATAGCTGTCGAACTACTTTACGTATGACATACGAGATGGCAGTGTAACAGGTCTTAACGAATGAACCAAATTATTTAATATCAGTCTACTCTACTCTACCAAAGAGTATAGTAAATATATAAGGAAATACTCTACTCTCGGTATTTTGTGACCACAAATTATAAAGTTGTATGTACAAGTACAAGTTGTTTGTGACCAAGTATTTTTGGAGTGTCAGCGATTGTCGTAAGTACTTTTTATTATTTAATATTACTTAGAATATTATACGTCATAATAAACTAGATGATTTATGTTTTATAATTACGTATACATATACAGTCCTTAGTGTAAAATCGAGTCTTATTTTAAATTCAAAATATAGCTGTTTCGAAAGAAATGGTCACTCTCAAGTTGTGGGCCCAATTTTATTTTTGTTTAATTAAAATTATTTATTTATTAAATATAGTTTAATAGAATTAAACTATATTCACTGAGATTTCTTAAAAATGTTAGTGGGTAACTCAAGTTTTTTGTTGTGGCTAGTTTTATATCCACGGACGTAACGACAATAGTTCTAAATAAGGGTCGGTACAAATAGCAAAATATGTTTCCAAGATGTTTCGCTTTGTTATTTTTTACGGTCTGGGTCTTGGATGGTGTTGGTTTTTAGTTTTATTTCTTAATAATTTATAATGATTCTTAATCGTAATCGTAATTTTTAACGTTTCTTTACCACATTAGTGACCGCCAATACGGTTTTCACCATGGTCGGTCAGCTGGTGATCTTCTGGTCTACCTAACTCACAGATGGGTGGAGGCAGTAGAGTCCAAAGGGGAGGCATTGGCCGTTAGTTTGGACATTGCGAAGGCCTTCGATCGGGTGTGGCACAAAGCGCTTCTTTCGAAGCTCCCTTCCTATGGGCTTCCCGAGAAATTGTGCGAGTGGATCACCAGCTTTCTTGCAGATCGGGGCATCAAGGTCGTTGTAGACGGTGCAAGCTCCGATTGCAAGCCTATTAACGCTGGTGTTCTACAAGGCTGCGTGCTATCGCCAACGCTGTTTCTTTATTTATCTATATTTATCCTTTCATTTTCATTTATAATCATATATTTATAGAACCCAACCAGATAAGAAAACTATATAGATACCCCATAATAATGATTGCCAATATTTGCAGTGCCCTTGTAGGGTTCTTGTTTGGAACTATTTTTTATAATTAAACCATATGTACACAACAAGATTAGCAAATAAATTGATTTTATTTGATTTGAAAGGAAATCTATCCACGATTGGTCGTTGCTGCTGGTGAAAATATGGTTAGTTCTTTTCTCACTTGAAAGCCAAGTATTGCCATTCAGCGAGGAAACGCAGCTAGTATTTTTGACATAATACCACGGGGAGTAGGATTGTATGATAATTTAAGTTATTATGTACTTTTATTTTATTTATTATGGTTTTTTTTTCAATATTGGATACATTATATGTATATTTCAATGTCATGTAAACATGAAAAAATTATGCAAATATGAGAAAACAAAATATAATTTTTTATAAGTTAACATACTGGGAGTATGTTAACTTATAAAAAATTATATTATATAAAAAATTATATTATACATAGATACAGGCGTTTATTCGGGCTGTGTAGTCGTTGTATATAATTATATACAACGACTACACAGCCCGAATAGACGCCTAATGTATGTATTTCTGCATCCAAACCTGTCTGTCAAAAGTCTGAGGTAAGCGGTACGGGGGAGGTGGGTTGAAATGCACGCTAAAGCGCTTATTATACATTGTACAATTTTTAGAAAATCTAATTAGGAAGCAGGAAGGTGTAATCGTAGTTAGAACAGTAAGGATCCGATTTAGTCAAATTGGAGGTCCCGACCGCTCTACTTCCTAAATTGTTTCCAATTTAGGACAATGTAATCGCAACGTTACGATTTAGAACAACAAGTCGTCGCCCGCGCTTTGATATAAGCGGATGTCTTGAAGTTTTGATAAAAGCGGTTCTGTTATCAGAGAGCAGTACCACAGTATAACAAATATGGATTTATAGACTGTGGCAGTAATTTAAATCTTAGTATTAATTTCCGGTGGCTACAAAACACTACTTTATTGTACAGGGAACCATGTTGCGCGTCTGTTGTATTTTATTTTGTCGAAAATTCACGAGTCACATGCAAGATGTTCAGGGAAGTGGTCGCTACTAAAGTAGATCGCGCGATCGTTTTCTTATATAAGACATATTTGTCTGATGTGTTGACTAATGGTGGTTAATATAGTGCATAGCGCCATATTATAGCCCGCTATCCCTCCATAACGCGTAGCGCGTGCCATGTAAGTAGTCGCCATGGCGCTATGGCGCTATGACGCTTTGGCGCTATTCATATCAAGATGCAATTAGTTCTAGCAACAACGCTGTTGGAAGTAGAAGTGTGACGCAAATTTAATCTAGTAGCACGTTATTCACTACTACTAATTTAGTGTTAGACGTTGTTTAGTTAGTGTATACTGTATATTTATAAGTGATCGAAGGAGACACTTGTCTGCTACAAAAGAAGCCTAACTAATGTTTTTAAATGTAAATAAAATATAGATACAAAAGTGTATATAATAATGTTTGTAAATAGTTGATTTTTGTATATACAACCAATAAACTTTTAAATACAACTTAAATTGATTTATAATTTATATTAAGGTTAAAATAACGATTACATCAATTATAATGAAAAATGATTAATTTCATTTTGTTTAAAAAGTACATGCCTAAAAATATTTTTAGGATAGTCGATTATAAGTCGTAAGCTTGAAAAGTATGAAAAAGCTTTCATTGATTTCTCTTTACTATTTTATTTAATCTAAAATGCGACTTATTACGAAATAATGTACTTATATAGCACGTTGTCTATCCAATGAACGACACGTAATGTAGCGTGCTTCGAGATACGAGTATAGCGCGCTATAACATAGCGTATTTAATAGCGCGCTAGAAATTTATAGTTTATAGTCTGTAGCGTGCTATTGATTTATAGTCGTTTTGAACAACTTTAATATTGACAGAAAGTGGTCGCCTTTCATGAGGCGTCTATTCGGGCTGTGTAGTCGTTGACTCTCAAGTATTTTCAACACAAAAATTCACAAATAACTAATCATAACTTCTTGTAAGTTAAAGTATCTATAAATATGTTAGTATTTTCTGCAAAAACAATATCCTAAAAAAGACTATCTATGCACACAACAAACGAATCACGCTTTTACTCTTTCGCTCGCTCATTTGATTCGTACGGCCAGCCCAAACTCGAGTTAAGCGCAACTCGAGTTAACTCGAGTTAGTAACTCGAGTTGACCCATCGCTAGTGTGAAGTCTGTGAAGTGACAGTGAGTTGTTTTGTTGTTTTGCTCTCTCTGTCTCCGTCGTCTCCGTTTTGCGCTTTGCCTTGTCTAAATGTCTAATTCTAAATGGGTTTAGAAAATTCATATTTTCCTTTACTTTTTTAATTTATAATCTCTAATAAAGTGTTAAGATGGAATCAGTTAACGTATGTCGGTGCTGTTTAGCTGAGGGGTTTCACAGGGATCTAAATTCATCATATACTTGGTTAGACAAAAAAGAAATTTATTCAGATATGTTACTGGAATGTTTCAATATTGTTGTAAGTAAACAAAATAATTAAATATCTATAATAGCCGTGTAGTGGTCGTAAAAAATATCATCCTATGGCTGTCGTAAGAGGCGACAGAGGGAAACAAATTAGATGGATAGATGGGCAGCATCGTCTACCTAAAGACTAAAAATTAATGACTGCGGTTGCCAATCCGCTTGCCAAGCGTGGCAACTATGGCAAATATCTCCCTTATGAGGCAATCTAGGGGGAGGCTTATGTTCAGCAGTGGACTTTAATAGGCTTTAACGGTAAGTCCTAATTATGAACATTATATTTTACCTGGGGAGGCCTGTGTGCAGGTGTGTACTTATGATGTATTCTAACGATGGAGATGATATATCTTATTTGGAATATTATTAATTACTCTGTTTAAGAAATAAACAAATTTTTTAGACGATAAGGTTGAATGTTGTTCTGGCTGATACACTGACAATAAAACTGCATATTTTAGCAAAATTTTAAATACATTATTTATACTTCTTAGTTATGGCCTTGAAAAGGTTACAAAACAACTATTAACTATAGGTGTTTTAGTTCATAAATAATAGATCTATGTTAGCTCAGAGAAAAAATTGTCTAAGATGAACCTGCCTTTGTCATCAGAAAATTAACTTAACATAATGGGTGCGTTTGGCAGAAAAAGCGCTAGCAAGCGCTTGTAAGCAAAATGGCGATTGTAAGCGGTAAGCGCTGTCAAATCGTAAGTAGCTATTTTCCTCTAGGACACGAAGTTAGCTTTAACTGGGGAACCTAACCTAATTTAAATATATGTTTGTAAAGTATTCATATTAAAAACTTACCAATCATGATTTTTTATAACATGTATATGTCTATTCATTTCATTATATTTCTTAAAACTAATATTGCACAAAACAACTTATAACCTCTACTTCAAAACAAACAAATTAAATAAGCAAAATGGTGGATTGTGTCAGCGCTACTGAAGTTAGCAAACGTGTCCTGGCTGAAAACTGTTTAGTTTCGCCATTTTGCTTACAAGCGCTTGCTAGCGCTTTTTTCTGCCAAACGCACCCATTATGTTAAGTTAATTTTCTGATGACAAAGGTAGGTTCATCTTAGACAATTTTTTCTCTGTAAACGTAAGTGTATAGTATTGTGTAATATAAATAATAGTTATGTGTAAACGCAGCCAATGTTTTACATTATATAATTTAAATTTAAAAAATAAATTTTTATTGTGATATCAACTAATGTTTATAGTGATATCATTATAGTCCTTCACAAGTTTAGAGCTGAATATTGCCCTTCCACAGGTTTGCGAAGAGATGTTGAATCTCTGCATATTTTATCGCATCTATCACGGGGAGTACTCTGAGGAATTTTTTTAAAATTTATTCTTATAAAGAGTGTACATAATTTACATTTTAATTTTTGCCAAACTGTAAGCCAGTTTGTGCGCAACAAAATTGTTCGGATTAGTCCCAGCTGCCAAATTTCGATTGCACTACACTTATGATCGCACTACGCGGCAAAATTCCCGATACCATCCACACCATCTGGATGCTTGGCGGTCCACCACTGTACGTTTCACTAGGAGTTTTCTTCCGCGTACAACCTCTCTGTGGAATAGTTTATCACCGGCGATTTTTCCGGACCGACCTCTCTAAAGGGCCGGCAACGCACCTACAATTCGTCTGGTGTTGCGGATGTTCATGGGCAGCGGTAGTCACTTAACATCAGGTGAACCGTATGCTCGTTTGCTCGTATTCTATATAAAAAAAAGGCCATAAGCACTGTTCTGAGCCATGTGTATGGCCTTCCCATTGCTACTTCAGCTTACTGACCCATGATGATTTTAACTACAATGATTTGCCTAAAAAATAGCAAATAAAAAAAAATCTCTGTAAAGCATTACAATTTGACATAGATGACTGGAATTACATTACAATACTTTAAAGTACCCTCATGGTCCAGGTTTTTTATATGTTGTATGTATATTATATTATGACTGCCTCATTGGTCTAGTGGTTGTAAACGCAATTCGTAATCATAAGGTCCCGGGTTCGAATCCAGGGTCAGGCCAAAATCAGTAATTAAGTTTTCTGTTAAAGAATTCTCAGTAGCAGCTCATAGTCTGGAATTTGACAATGTTTAATTCACCCTCGTGCCTCGGAAAGCATGTTAAGCTGTTAGTCCTGCACATGATATCGCTCTGCTTGTGTTGATATTACAGTCCTATTGAACTATAAGAAAGAGAGAATAGAGAGTGCACCTTTGCTTGCGCATACACTTAGACACTATAATTCTGTCCTGCACAGATGGCTAATCCATTTTTTTATATAAAATAAGGACAAATGAGCACACAGGCCACCTGATAGTAAGTGGATGCTGTGGTCCAAAGACATTTACATTTATCCTTGATTAAGAATCAAAATGCAGATGCATTGTCATCCCTGAAGACTAAGATGGAATGCCTCGTTTCCAGTTAAAAAGGGTCTCCGGATCTCTACACTCACCATACAAAACACATCAGTATTAAGCTGCTATTTTATGCTAGTATTCTGTGAGAGTGTGGTCCTTCCCCGGTCGAGCCAACCCATTCGTGCTACAACCATAGTATAGCTGCAGTGTAGGTCTACCACATACAAGTGAAATCTATATATAATATTATATAAATAATCTATATATAAATTATTTTTGAAGTCTGGCCACCGTAACTGAAATCCAGTCTGGAGGATATTATGTATATTATGTTATATTATAATGTGTTATAATAATATCAAAGATATATAAGCAAACATGAACTAATTTGCTTTATTTTCCAAAGTTGTCTGCAGATAAAAAATCTAATTCTATCTGTAATCTGTGCATCAAAAGCCTAAGGAGCTCTCTGTGCTTCAAGCAACAAGTGTTGAAGACTGAGTTTCATTTCATTAAATGGATTAGAAGAGAAAAAAAGACCAGGTGAGATATTAAGTTTAGTCATAATTTTTTTACCATCCCATATCATCATCCCATGGGTGTATTAAGAGGCAACAGGGGCAAGTTTACACAGCTGATAGATTCAGCATCTTCCTGAAAACAACAAAACAAAACAAAAACAGTCCACTTTATGGTAAGCGGATGCTGTGGCCCATAGACATCTACATTTATCCTCGATTAAGAACCGAAATGAAGATGCATTGTCACTTTTAGGGAATGAAACGGAATGCCTCATTTCCAGTAAAAGGGGTTACCGGTTCTCTACACTCACTATACGAAAAGTAACATCCTTAACCTGCTATTTTACCATGGTATTCTCTGAGAGAGTGGTCTTTCCCCAGTCAAGCCTACCCGTTCATGCTACAACTATACTATTAAAATAGCTGCAGCTTTGCTCGACCACGTAAAAAATATTATAGTATTAAGATTGACAACACATCTGCATTTGGGTTCTTAATTGAGTATAGATAAAGATTGATCTACGGACCACAGCTCACACTTACCATAATGTGGACTGTTTGCTTTTTGGTGGACATGGGTTTCTACCGTTATATAAGGATTATGGAAACTTGTAGATACAGAACAATAGATTTTATATGTGGAAGTATCATGTTGCAGTTTTATTATAGTTGTAGTACGAATGGGAGAGCTTAACCTGGAAAGAACCATGTATTCATAGAATGTCATTTGTACTTTGCTTGTATGGTAGGTGTAGAGAAATGGAGACACTTTTTACTGGAAATGAAGCATAATATAGCTGCAGCGTGGTAGAGACACGGTGCAGCTATATTATGCTTGTAGCATCAATGAATCGGCTCGCCCAGGGAAGGACCACACTTTCACAGAATATCAACACAAAATAGCAGCTTAATACTGCTGTGTTTCGTATGGTGATTGTAAAAAACCGGAGACTCATTTCTAATGAAAGTGATATTCGCTAAACATTTTCCAGTGCCATTGCACAGATCACCGCGGCAGTAGCAGTAGACTGTTGTTGTAGCGCGTTCGATATCACTGGGGTCCTCAGCGCACCCCTCGTTGTACACATCGTAGATAGTGTTGACCGGTCGCCATTTGCCGTTTATCTTCGCTTGGTCTCCGCTCATAGTTTGCAGAGCGCAGCCTCGCTGTGTCGTTGTTGTGGTCACTGTGAAGAAACATTTTGTACTATAGTTTGTGCCAAATCGATTGAGAAAAACTGACATTGACCTCAGATATGAGCCGAGTGTCAAAAGGCGTAACTTACAAAATCTCAATTTAGATGTGATAACAATATTTATCCATCTTAGTCTTCAGGGGTGACAACGCATCAGCATTTTGATTCCTAATTGAAGATAGATGTCTATGGCAGGGCTTGATTGCGGTTAAGGTATGATGTCACACTACTGGTATAAAATATTGATATCGCTATTTTTTAAATGTAGACCAAAATTGGTGAAAATTCACTAATACTCCATCGGTCTAAAATAATTGTAATATTATATTTAGTTATATCTTTGTATAAACCTTTACATAACCGAAATGATATTGGTAACTAAAAATATCTATTTGTGTAACCAAAAGTATTTGTTGTTTTGACAATGACAGGAGTTTCTAAGAAACTAATTGAAAACTAAGATAATTTATAACCACAAGAAGAAGAAAACCTATAGGTTGAGAATTACCTTGCAAAAAAAATATTGCTACCGTTATTTTTTGGTTCTGAATTTGTGTATTGATATTGTAAGATATTGCAATAAAAAGATATGACGTCATACCTTCAACCGTTATAACCCCTAATTTTTCGATCAAAGTCCTGGTATAAGGGCCCCAGCCCAAAAAATTTGGTTGCCACTCTATTGAGGGCTCCCTCTGTACTGTTTGCCATCACAAACCTTCCACTTGAATGTTTTTTTTTCTATTGCTCCTCAGTTCTTAAGTTAATAACTTGCATTTAAATAGTAACATGAACATCCTCTTTAACTTTGTGCTTACATGATTTAAAAAAAATTGTAACAATAAGTATAATTATATTTGCTTCTAGATGGCGAAACTTTGGAATTGAAGGAGGAACATAAGCCGAAAAGCGATGGTGACGATACAGGCAATTACTTCTTGAGTGATACAGGTATGTTATATTAGTTTAAGAACTAGGATAATAATAATAGTAATGTTCTCCAAACTAGAGAATAGAGACTTCTAGAGACTAGTCATCTGCGCAAGCATAGATAGCTTGCACTCATATTAAGATGGGACGGTAATCCGATATGATCAGGTTATATTATACTTGTGTCAGGATTGGGTCGGCTCGACCGGAGAAGGACCATGCTCTCACAGAATGCCAGCATAATATAACAGCTTAATGCTGCTGTGTTTTGTATGTTGAGTCTAGAGAACCGGAGACCCTTTTAACTGGAAACGACACATTCAAGTTTAGTCCTTTTATTTTATCCCTAGAGTGACAATGCATCTGATTTTTGTTCGCAAACGAGGATAAGTTTACATCTATGGGTCACAACATCCATTTATTATCAGGTCGGCTGAGTGCTCGTAAAAAGTAATTTCTAAACGATAATTATTAAAAAAAATAAGTAAGTATAACTTAAATTTGTTTCTAGATGACCAGACATTAGAAATTAAGCAGGAGTCTCGGCCCAGAAGTGATGGTGACGATTCAGACAGTTACTTCATGAGTGATACAGGTATGGTAATACATAATCATAAACATAGGCACTTACACCTGTCCATTGGCTACATGCATCCATCGGCTCAGCATCTTTTACCAGGTCATTACTCCATCTACAGGGATGCCATCCTAATCTTTGCTTATATCAGTACTAGCATCGATCAATTAGATTGGATTAGAGCCGTGGTAGCTCAGATGGTCAACACTCGTTGTAAATATAAAAGAACGCGAGTAACCCGGGTTCAATCCCTGCCGGCACCAATGAAATTGTTAATTGCAATTTTAGGTGCTGATTTACCATGTGCTCGGCGGTGAAGAAAAACATCGTGAGGAAACCTGCATTGCTGAGGGATAAGAAAAAAAAATATTTCGAAGACATAAAGTTCGCCAACACGCATTGAGGCAGCGCGGCGGACACTTCCTTGCCCTAATACTTGGATTATTAAGCCTAGCTGTGGGATGTATATAGGCTGTAACTTTACTATTTTTTTACTTATCGATCTATTAAGCCTCGTTGGTCTCGTGGTCTTAAACTCGTGGCTGTTGCTGATCAAGAGATCCTGGGTTCGAATCCCGGGTCCAGCTAAAATAAGTTATTTGGTTTTTTGTCGAGAAATTCCCAGAAGCAGCCCCAAGTCAGGAAGTTGGTGGTGTTACAATCCCGTGCCTCGGAGAGCACGTAAAGCTGTAGGTCCTTCGCTTTATATATACGGTTGTGTCGGATCACGGTTACATCGTACCATGAGAATGAAGTAATAGAAAGTGCACCTGCGCTTGCATGTACACTTGACACTATAGTCCTGACTTGCACAAATGACTAGTCTCTGTTGAGATTTATTATATCCGTACGAGGCTATCAATCGAGAACCTTTTCCCCCACTGTTTGTGGATTCTACAAATTTCATGGCTGACCCATTAATAATAAAAGCAAATTTTTAATATTTCAGCCAAAGAAACCAGTAAAGAATTGGAATCAAAGGAGCTTCCGAAACGGAAAATACAATTAGAAAGCAAGAAACAGTCGAAAGATACAGACTGGCATGAGCAGAAGTTTAAAACTCTAGATACTACATTGAAAACAATAAGTAAGAATTTTTTTTAAAAGAATATTAACAATGTTATAGACATTACTAATATTCCCCTTAACCACTCGTGGTAAGCTTAAATTGTTTGTGTTACAAGTGGTTCACGCCAGTAGTCGAATGGCGGATTCGAACCCACGACCTTTTTGAGTTCGCGTGTTTCCCTCTTCCATTTCTCACAGCACATCAAATTTCCACTGCGGAACATAAGTCTACCCTCATAAATTACTTCATAGGGTGGCCGGGAGAGCAGCTGGCACATTAAATATACCACGCAGTTGCATTTTTATTTACTGTAGTTAAAGCAAATACCAATTAAGTTATATGCTTGTGTAATAAACTTCAAATCACGTTGACAAAGTGCGCACATAAATAATGACAACATTTTCATAGTTAAATTAAAAAAAAATACGTGTGGCACTCGGTGACTGCCGCGGTAAAGCTATTGCATAGCATTTTTTATCAACTTATGCAATTATAATTATTTATTTATTTTATTTATGCAGTTAAGTCTTTGATATTAAATCAAGTTACACTTTTTGAGCGTGGTGACCGATAAGAAAACAATTTTTTTCCTCTTATTGAATAAATGAGAAGTTAATATTGTTTAAAATATTTTTAATATCTTACAATACATGTAGGTTATTCAGGAATTTTTATCATTGAGTTAGCAGCTAGTGTAACATGCAGTCGCACGCACACAAACACCGTGCCGAACTCTGCCGAGCGCCGAAGTCTGCCGAACTGAAACGACATTAGACGATGCACGGCTTTCAACGCCACACCTCCGTGCCCGTCGGAGTGGGGAGCGTGTGGTTTTTTTTTCGTTACGGAATTTCTGGATTCGGTCCCCGCGCTCAAGGCCCGCGATAGAAGCTATGCAATAGCTTAAAAAAAAAAACAAAACAAAACAAGTGTTCTCATCCGCTCGCAGTTGACTAAAGGAGTTACAGATAATTGGTCATAATTCATAACTTCGCATGCAATGTATTAAGACCGCAGAGCTGATCTGAGAGTATAATTTTATGTAAGTCACATAATTTGATTTTAGAAGAAAAATCACTGGAGATGAAACTGGAGCTCCAACCTGAGACAGATGATGACGAATCGGATAATTATTTTCTATGTGATATAGGTGAGCATAAATATTTTTTTTGATGTAATTTTTTCTGCCTAAAGACAGTTGCTTTTTTTATATAAAAGATGGGCAAATGAGCATGCGGCTCACCTGATGGTAAGTGACTACCGCCGCCCATGAACAACTGCAACACCAGGGGAATTACAGGTGCGTTGACGGTTTTTAAAAAAGATTAGGCTCCTACCTTGAAGGTCCCTAGGGCGTATCTGATCGGAAAAATCGCTGTTCGTAGTCGATTCCACAAGGAAGTTGTGCGGGGAACAAAACTTCTTGTAATCCCATTCACCAATCAACCAGATGGTGTGGATTATATCGCGAGTTTTGTCGCGATGTGCGATGGTGAAATTGAGAGCTGGAATCAGTCCGACCAATTTCTCTGAGCACTCCCTGTGGTAGTTTTTTTTATAGAATAACAATTGAGCACACAGTCCACCTGATGGTAAGTGGATGCTGTGGCTCATAGACGTGTACATTTATCCTCGATTAAGAATCAAAATGCATATGCGTATTCACTCCTGAGAACTAAGATGGAATGCCTCGTTTCCAGTAAAAAGGGTCTCCGGATCTCTACACCCACCATACGAAACACAGCAGTATTAAGCTGCTATTTGCCGCTGGTATTCTGTGAGATGCGATAGTAAACGCAAAGAGATGCAACATCTTGTGCTATCAAATTGCATTGGGTTTGTTGTAGATTCTTAGCAGGACATATATTATTTATGAACTGAGTGTAAAGCATAGTGTAACGAAAAATTATTTTATTCTATTTAGTCCCTTTAAGTTGGTTATTGCTTTTTATTAAAGGTTACCCTTTCGAGTGGCCAGAGGAATATAAAGTACAAAGTAACAAATAGGATGTTTTCTAAATAATTACATTAAATAACAGAACGCGAGTAACCCGGGTTCGATCCCCGCCGGCACCAATGAAATTGTTAATTGCAATTTTAAGTGCTGATTTACCACGTGCTCGGCGGTGAAGGAAAATATTGTTACGAGCTTGAGGTTCGTGACAATAAAAATTGCCGATAAAATTACCTAAATTAACACTTTAATTTACTTTACACAATTAAAGTTAAAACACTAATAATTTAAACACACTAATTCACTTAATTCCACTCCGAAGCTTCGCTTGTTTCGCCCAAATCAACACTGCCTCCATCGCATCTTGCAGCGCCTATATATTTAAATTAGCAAAGAAATATCCAGAATGTTCAAGTAAACACGCGGAAGGTACCGAGCGTTCGAGTTTCGACTAGGCGCTGTCAGTTGAGTGATTTGTGATGTCATTTTCTCAATGCTCCCCTCGCTCTCGTTCTTGACACTAGATGGCGCTAGTGTATCGTTGACTGGAGCGCGTAACACTGCCCCCTCCTAAGACATGCTCGTCCCGAGCATTGTCGGCCCCATAATAACGCGCCAAGCGATTCACATGGACGATCTTAGGAGTCCCTCTTGCGCCTTTCTGTAACGGCTCCGCAATGTCAAGGGCTGTCCTATCCCGTGGTGCACCAACATTGTACAATTTCGGTGCTCCTCTACTACGTGTCCGAGGTCCCCGCAGGGCCGCACAACTTGTACATGTACGACACCAATCCTCGACATCGTCACGATAATGGACCCAGTAAAACTGTTCTCGGACCTTCAGTAGAGTTCGTTTAACTCCCAGATGGACTCTTGAACGACCATTATGGCACAACTGTAGAACATTCGACACTTTAGCTTTAGGGACAACCATTTGCAAACGACAGCTGTCTCTTCGACCATTGTCCCATTTACGGCACAGGACTCCATCCTGAATCAGCAAGCTGTCCCATTGGGCCCAATAGCTTTTCGTGGTTGAACTCATCGCTGAGACGTCACTCCACTTAGGCTTGGTAGCGCGGGCCTTCATCCATCCCGGAATCGGCTTGATGTCTGGATCTTCCTGCTGTGCATGTCGTAGGTTGTCCTTCCATTCGTTGCTGAGGTGGTCCGTCCTGAGCATCCTCATGGATACCACCTCCTTACTCTCTTGCCTACTACAATGGTTGCAATCTTCAGGACAAGGTCTTCTTGACAATGCATCTGCGTTGCCGTGAGATTTCCCGCTGCAGTGTCTGATAGTAAAGTCGTATTCCTGCTGCTGCTGGGCGGTGCTGTTAGCCGCACTTCCTTTCTGAGACCGTTCACCTTCCCTTCCTAGGGTGTGCTTAGGGCAGCTGGACCGAAGATGGCCCCTTTCCCCACAGCCATAGCACCTAGGGCTGTATCTTTTATTGTGGTCGCGAACCGTAACTGCTGTAACCTCCCTAGCGTGAGGTGAACGATGATCCTGTCGCCGCCAGGCAGTGCCGTTAGCTGCACTACCCTCTCGAGATCGATCAACTCTCCTTTCCACGGTTCGTTTAGGGCAGCTGGATCGAAGATGGCCCTTTTCCCCACAGCCATAGCACCTAGGGCTGTATCCTTTGTTGCGGTCGCGAACTGTAGCTGCTGCAACCTCCCTGACGCGATGGGAACGATGATCCTGCCGCACGGCTTCTACCTCCAGTGCATGGGCCAAGGCGTTCTTAAGCGTCTCGTGGTGCCCGAGCCTCACAGCAGCTCTGACTTCCAGGTCGCGGATGCCGTCGATGAATGTCTGCACCAGGTTCAGCGCAGGTACAGACCGGTATGCTTTTCGCACCAGCTTCTCCGCCTCTAGAGCCCACAGCTGCAGGTTTTCGTTGATGCGCTGCAAGCGATCTTTAAGCTGCGCACGAAAGACGTGTTCCAGGTGAGCGTCGCCATACCTCGCCTCCAATGCCTCAAGGAGTTGCTCATAAGTCACTTCCTCGCCGAGAGCTTCCAGAACTGTTAGGGCCTGGTCGCGCAGGCCTAGTGTGAGAGCAGTCATGGCCTGACTTTTATTCCAGCCGTTCGCCTTCATAACGGCCTCGAACTGGATTTTGTAGGCTGACCAGGAAGAGGTACCGTCGAACGGTGGCACCTTGAACCCACGTAGCGAAGGTGTTGTAGCTACTACGGGAGCTGTAGCTCCATCTCCAAGTTTGAGTTCGTCCAGTGATTTCTTCATGTCAGCCATTACGTTGTCAACCCGATTGTTTACTTGGTCGATTCGGGTTTCAGCTTTCTCGATTCAGTTTTCAGCTTCCGACAGGCGGTTGTCATGGTGAGCAACCCTATCCTTCACCTCCTTTATCTCCTTTCCGAAGGTAGCGTGAAGGTCCTTCATGAGGAGCATCTGTTCCTCCTGTCGGCGGGCCTGTTCCTCGTGTCGGCGGGCCTGTTCCTCCTGCTGCTCTTTCAACTGACGGGCCTGTTCCTCCTGTCCGCCCCGCAGCTGCTGCAGCATCACCATCAGAGCACCTAAGTCAGGTGCCACAGACGTAGAAGCTGCTGACGGACCGGCTTCCGTGGCCGGCGGCTGGCCCTCAGACATCTGCGGCGTTGCACCACCAAATCTCCTCTGGTCCGTCTCCTGTTGGCGTTGACTTCGGGTACGGACACCCTCCGTTTCCTCCTTAGGTAAAATCGGCATTATTTTATCCCACTTCTGACACCAATTGTTACGAGCTTGAGGTTCGTGACAATAAAAATTGCCGATAAAATTACCTAAATTAACACTTTAATTTACTTTACACAATTAAAGTTAAAACACTAATAATTTAAACACACTAATTCACTTAATTCCACTCCGAAGCTTCGCTTGTTTCGCCCAAATCAACACTGCCTCCATCGCATCTTGCAGCGCCTATATATTTAAATTAGCAAAGAAATATCCAGAATGTTCAAGTAAACACGCGGAAGGTACCGAGCGTTCGAGTTTCGACTAGGCGCTGTCAGTTGAGTGATTTGTGATGTCATTTTCTCAATGCTCCCCTCGCTCTCGTTCCTGACACTAGATGGCGCTAGTGTATCGTTGACTGGAGCGCGTAACAATATCGTGAGGAAACCTGCATGTCTGAAGAATAAAAAAAAAGTATTTCCAAGACGTGAAGTTCGCCAACACGCATTGGGGCAGCGCGGCGGACACTTCCTTGCCCTGAAACCCTCTCAGAAATGAGGGGAGGCCTGTGCCCAGCAGTGAGACGTATACAGGCTGTAACTTTACTTTACTTAAGAATGGACAGTTTTTTATGTTGCTGTACAGACCCAGCCTTAAGGTATTAATTTAATACAAAATTAATCATATCGGATCACAATTGGTGAAGATATTGCATAACATATGTACAAAAAAGTTTTTTTAAAATAGAATAAAGGTGACAAACGAGCACACAGTCCAACTGATGGTCAGTGGTTGCTGCGGCCCATATATATCTATCCTTCTACCGTCTACGACACAAAAACAAGTCTACCCATTCGTGTTACAACCATAATATAATTCTTATATGATGATGATGATCATCTTCATCATCCTCATCATTACAGCCCTTCACAAGTCCGTTGCTAAACATAGGCCTACCCAACGGTCCTGAGCCACCTGCATGACCTGCAACCATCGACTTCCTGCATCTTACCAGGTCGTCACTATCTAGTGGGGCGCCGCCATAGACTATACAGCTACTACGTATTATTATTAATCTATACTGGGTAGTTATTTATCGTCTGGAAAAAATAGGGTGTAACAAGTGAACGAAATAAAAACCTATGGCACTGATATTTTACAATTTTTTTGTTTTCACATTAACATATGGAATTGATCTATCAATAAATAGAGAAGCTAGAATTATGAAACTTTTTCTCGTGACTTAACTCGTCACTAACGCCATCTAGTTTATACAATCAATACCCTGGATTTTAAACCTTTTTACAGAATCATCACAGGATATTGAAACCGTAGTTGAAGAACCTCTTAACAAAAGAGCGAGAACAACTGTTAAGAACACGAAAGAAGATGGTAAATGGCGGGCTCAGAAGATAAAGACTTTTGTCAACAGGCTCGCAAACTCTATAAGTGAGTTGATCATGTATTTCGTTCAGTATAAAATTTGATTTTAACTCTTGCGGTCATATTAAAAAACATGGTTTATTGGTAGTAAACTATCGTTTAGACTGAGTTTAGACATGTACTTACCCGCACGGACTTCTAGGCAGGGAAGGGCTTAGCAATGAGCGCTTGGAGCCGCGGGTTCGAATCCCGTATGGAACAAGTATTTATATGGCCTACAAACAATTGTTCCAGGTCTGGATGTTTGTTTTGTGCAATATATATTTGTATATATACAGGAGAAAATTCTAGCATGGAGATAACGTTTATTTAAAAAAAAAAAAAAGAAACAAATCAAAACTAATTTAAAAAAGTATCAAAGATTCCTACCACCTATAGTCAACCAAATCTAAGAAATACCTTTTGACGTTTCACATTAATCATTCAGCAATAATTTTGCACAAGCGTACTCACACAATTTAAAATAACCTTTTACGCAAATCCGAAGAATTATGAAGTTATCCATATTTCTTTACAACATGTATAGTTTTTTACCACTAGTTTAAATTTGAATCTTTCAAACAAAGCAAAATAATAAAAAATAATCAGTATCAACTTTTTTTACTTGACATCGTTTCAATGATATGTCGCTATGTACATAACCGTAGTGTTTGGATGATTAAAATTCATTATGTGAATAATCGGCAAAAATATTCAAATAATTGTTAAAAATATTCAAATAATCGAATCATTAATTATTTAATGTATTATTTGTTTAATTTAATTTTTATTTTTGAAATTCCTTAAATTACATGAATAATGGATAAAACAAGTTTTTTTTTTAAATTTGTCAACGTAAATTTATGTAGGCAAAAAAACTCATATACAAGGCCGCGCTGAAAAAACCACTACGTAATTTCAATATCCACCATTTCGGGACCTTACTATGCGTAATTTTGTGATTGTGTGTATGTCTTGTTATTTTGTGACTCGGTTTTTACTTTTTGGACTGTTTCTTCAATATTCGTTGAAGCATGTGCCCATGTTACAAAGGATCTTTGGGCAAAAGTGGTAAAAAACACAAAAAATATTTACTATGGATGACTTTGATAAGAGACATTAATTTTGACTGCATTATTGAAAAACATATAATAATTAATCTGAACAACGACAGCTCAACTAGTTGTACTGAAAGTGATAGAATAAATTTATTTTTAATCTTAAATTTTTATAACTGTGCCTCTAGGAATAAGCAGTAACAACAAATACCTAAAAACTGATAAATCTTCGGTTTAAAGAACTTTGTTTCTCATTAAGACAATAAGTCACTTACATGAGAACAATAACATCTATATTATAATTCTAGTGTGTGTGGGTAGTAAAAAAATAAATAAAAATTATACCGATCGATCGTTAACCAAGAAGCGAGTTCATTGTGTTTCTATCAACTATAAGGCGGTGGTCCAAGTATAATTTTAATGCATAGTTTCATCATTATAAATATATTCAAATAATCTTCTTTTAAAAATATTGATTGAAGTCGCTTCTTTCACATGTTTTGGAAGTTGATTGTATAACTGTGCTCCCCCAAATGTTATGTTATTTTTTCCATAGTTTGTTCTTACGGCAGGTAACACAAAATTGCTGGCTCGGCGGGTTATATATTTGTTTATTTCACTTTTTGTTGTGAATGTTATGTGTGAGTGAATAAGCTTATGAGTTATCTTGTAGATAAGTAGACAAGTAAAAATCTTGTGTTTCAAATTATTCGTTTTAAATTTATTCTGGTATTATTCAAACCAAACTGTAAATAATTACCAAATCTAAATTATCGTTTTTTTTAAGAATCGAATATTGTACGTTTCCATTTTTTGATTGGCATGCCTGGTCTGGTGCAATAAGTCTGACAGCTGTCAAAATGTATTTCTTAGATTTGGTTGACTATAGTTATAAGCAAAAAAAAAAAAAAAAAGAATATCGTGACGATTTCTTACTTGACAAATACTGCTGTTTTATAGAATAAGGATGACAAACAGGCACACAGTCCACCTGATGGTAAGAGGATGTTGTGGCCTATAGACTTCTACTTTTTTCCCCAATTAAGAATCAAAATGTAGGTGTGTTGTCAGCCCTGAAGGCTAAAATGATATGCCTCGTTTCCAGTAAAAAGGGTCTCCGGTTCTCTACACTCACCATACGAAATACAGCAGCATTAAGTTCCTATTTGACGCTGTTATTTTGTGAGAGCGTGGTCCTGCGGGCCAACCCATTAGTGCTACAGCTATAATATAGCTGTAGCGTGGCACTACCACGTTAGCGGAAGAGTCCTATGGCCAGTAGTGACATTTTACTGGCCTATTACGAAAAAAAATGAAGAACTACCAATAATATATCTTAGAGTCCTATTGGATTTTGATGGTTAAATAGTAATGTGTAGTATAGAGTCGGTGTTAGTATATCCACTACCCAATATCGTCCCGTAGTTGTCGTAAGAAGCGACAGATGGAAATAGCAGCATCTTCCAACTGCCAATCATCCCATCTGCCAACCTGCCACCAATGCAAATGACGTCATGAATCGACGCTATACTGGTGATTCGATCCAAAACATAGGATAGTATATGACGTCATACAATTACGCTATATTGGAAAAGTGTTGGCGATTATTTTGTCGTTTTGTGCTCCAAAAATAGATATACCAACGAATCCGATCCGATATCCAAAAAATGGAGATACCAACAATTATTCTATAATTTTTTGTATTTGAATAAATAAAAATAAATTCTGGCGTGCTTCATTCAGCGCACACACAATTAACAAATTATTTCATTATAGCCGGATATCCGAAGCAATATGGCGGCGGCACGCCAGTACAATATGGTGTCAATTGATGACGTCATTTGTATTCGGTAGTATACTGAAAACGTTTCGGAACATATCCATGGCAAATATCCCTCCTATAGAGAAATCTACGGGGAAGTCTATTTTCAGTAGTGGATTTTTGATAGGCTCATACGGTAACGGACTAGATAGTAATATCTTTTTTTTTACCAACAGATTCCTGCGAAAAATCAGACGTAACAAACAAGAAGGAAATTAACTTAGTAAAATCTGGCAAAACCAAAATCACTATCTCTAAAGACTCCAAAGTCAAACTCACGTGGAATACCAAAGCCACTATTAAAAGTAAACATAGGGAGAATCTAAAGACCATACTTCAATACTCTAACGCGACGCCGTTTAAAAATAAATCACTGCTGGGCTTCATTTGTGGGTACTGTGATGCTACGTTCCCAGACCCTTTAGACCTTCGGACTCACACAGAAACTGAGCACAAAAAAGAGCGATTGGAGTTTAAAACTAACTTCGACATGACAGAGTACAGCGTCAAACTTGACGTGACTGACTTGTCCTGCACTCTGTGCAACGCAAATATGGCAAATTTGAACTCCCTTAAGGATCACTTGGTGAGATCCCACAGTAAAACCATATACAGCGATATAAAGGATCACATACTACAGTTTAAGTTGAAGAAAGGGGATGTTTACGATTGTGCACTGTGTACAGCCACCTATGAGACTTTCAAAATGTTAAAACAGCATATGAATAAACATTACTGTAATTATACATGCAATAAATGCCATACGGCGTTCGCAACGAAGCGGTCTCTCAACTCCCACCGCACTACTCATAAGGAGGGTAGTTTCAAATGTGACCATTGCGAAAAAATCTTCTCCAGTCGACCAAAGAAACAGTATCACGAGAAGACGAAACATTTAGGCACTAGAAACATCGGCAATTGTCCGTATTGCAACGAATCTTTCCGCAGCTACTACCAGCGCAACCAGCACTTGGTAAAAGTGCATAACTCCGAAGCCCAGTACAAATGCAACGTTTGCAACAAAGCATACGTTTTGAAGACTTTACTCATGTGTCATATTAAGAAGAATCACTTAATGGAACGCAACTGTCAGTGTACGGAATGCGGTTACCGGTTTTTCAGCAAGAAAGCGCTTAAAGCCCATATGGTTAAACATACGGGCAAAAAGATATACGCGTGTGAGGTGTGCCATAAATCCTACGCCAGAAAGTATACCTTGAGGGAACATATGCGGATACATAATAATGATAGGCGGTTCAAATGCGACGTGTGCGGTGTTTCGTTCGTGCAAAAGTGCAGTTTGAAGAGTCACTTGTTGTCTAATCATGGTATAAGCATGGCTGCCAGTGACATTACTTCGTCATAGCGGTGACTGACTGATTTATGGAGTTTGTGAGACAATGTAAAATAGTCACAAGGATTAACAGCAAAATCTTGTGTGGATCAGCGAAAAGTGAGGATGATTACTTTAAACGCCGGTAATAAGCCAAAAACAATTATAGAGGAAAGATAAAAAATTGGTCCTTCGAGACCGATTATGGAGGGAAAAGAAAACCAAATTAGTCTTTCGAGTTTCCAGATCTGAGAACTGCTCAAATTAAAGAGAGAATCAATCCAAAAAGCTCTTAGATGGATTGAATTTCAGCTGTCGATGGAAAAAAGTGGACGTCCCGTGTGGGAAGCATGAAGCTTCTATATTTATAGCAGATTTGTTCGAAAATTTCCGAGTTGGCAATGATCGGGGCATATAGCTCGAAGTCCCGACGACCGATGGAGAAGTAAGGTTCTCCAGTGGCAAAGCTAGCTGTACAGTGTAGGGTGACCTGCATTAGATGGAGCGATGACCTGGTGACATGCTGGGACTTGCTTAGTGGATAAATAAAACTAATATTTGATTCCATAATATATTTATCAAAATGATTGAACAACCTAATTTAATTCGGAAAACTAAAATAGTTTTTATATGCAAAAGTGGGAAATTGTGAAAAAAAAAATAGTGTCGTTATTTGGTGCTTTTTACAATATGCAATAAAAATGTACATACATATATACAAGTAATAATAATGCACGTGTTATTTATTTTGTAAATATTTTAGACTTAATTTATGATACTTTTTATAATAAAATGTATGATGATAATGTTATTTTTTCCTCACATAATGATACCTAAATATTCATGTCATGCTCTACCACTTGGCCAAGGAGTTGACGGGTACTTGACATAGCTACTTTGTCACATATTAAATAATGTTTCTACTTAACAGACTCATCACTCCCATACAAAAGCAAAATACTGTTGCGCGCCGTAATTAATGCCTGGTATATGGCAACATAAGAGCTGTGGTAGCTCAGATAGTTAACGCTCGCTGTAAACATAACAGGAACACGAGTAACCCGGGTTCGATCCCTGCCAGCACCAATGAAATTGTTAATTGCAATTTTAAGTGCTGATTTACCACGTGCTCGCCGGTGAAGGATAACATCGTGAGGAAACATGCACGTCTCAGGAATAAGAAAAAAAATATTTCGAAGACATGTGAAGTTCGCCAACACGCATCGGGGGCGTGGCAGACACTTCCTTGCCCTATAACCCTCTCAGAAATGAGGGGAGGCCTGTGCCCAGCAGTGAGACGTATATAGGCTGTAACTTTATATGGCAACATTAGTTACCACTAGCGCCCTCTAGTACCATGTAGCAGAACTAGGAGAGTCAAGATCCTTCTCGGGATGTCCATACTAGAACTTTCTACGCCTAGTCTGTCGGGACCGGTATGTACTCGAACATTCTAGATGTTTCAGTAGAAGAGGCCCTGTAGTAACCACCTATAGTAAAACTTTTAAGCATTTTATTCACGAAGTGATTAAAGTTAGTTTGCAGTTGTTTCGATCCGATGTTTGGTAAGTTTGTATTATATTAAATTAGTATATTAAAGCAACATCATCTACATTTGTAAATATACCTCCCTGCTATGAAATCTGTCTATTTCCTCACCTCATTACCTCGTTTTTATGTAGCGCCGCTCTGGTGGCAGAACAAGTGGATGTCCGTGGTGGAACTTTTCTTGTCCCTAATTGTCACAAAGGAAGGACGGTCCAAAGTTGTATGAAGCGTAGACCTGGTTTTGTACAAGTAGGGCAATAAATAAAATAATATATTGTACCACTTTTGGTCGTTCAAATCCACGAAGTTGCCTTTATTTCAGTGGTATTAATAATTTATTTTTACCAAAAACTGCAACACTAATGGCGAATTGATGTTGTTTTGACGTTAGCTGTCAACTGTCATCAGGTCATTGATCAATTTATTGACAGATTTTTGAATTCTGAAATGCTGTGTTATTCTTATCACAATGTGTTATTATCAGGCCTTATCAACTAATGTATGGGACCTATGCGACAGTAACAACAGCAGCGCCATCGAATAAATTCTCAAAGAATTACGTCGGTTTCGCAGATCGATGTAATACTTGATAAACCATGTAGATGGCGCGGTAACAGTATTATTTATTCGGACATTTGTCTTACGAGATTTCTACCAAAAAATTGCCAAGTTATTTTAAAACTTCTAAAACGAGAGTATTTCACCAATGGATTTTGTATCTTTCTATTCATTTTAAAAATACTATATTTCGTTAGTTAGTTTTTTTACTGTTATTTTGGATTTTATTAAAAAAGAAAAATATTGGTTATAAAATAAAAATGATTTAAAGCAACAGCGACAGTTATCTTCTCTACGTTTATTGAAGAATATTAAATTTAGAAAAAAAAAGAAAAATATTGTTTATGTTTTATCTGTAAATAAAAATGATTAAAGCAACAGCGACAGTTATCTTCTCTACGTTTATTGAAGAATATTAAATTTAGAAAATGGCAACTCTCCGCTAGGAGTAAATGTATTCCGCGGTTTTCATTCACTTCAAAAATCAGCGAATAGTTGGTTTTTGTTGATCCTTTAATTTGTTACTTTGTTATAGTTCTTTGTCTTCATTTTTGCGTTGAGTTGAGTGAATTTCGCTCCTCCGTATTAGCACAGTATAATAAAAACATACAGTAGGACGACGCCATTGATCTCGTAGTAAATGCCGACAACGTCTAGACAGCGTATGGAGGTTAGGGTTGTCACAAATTAACAACTTTTACTAATTTCATTATTTATTTTAGATCTACATCGTGATAAACAACATGATTACTAATATAAAGAATAAGTAATAATTTGTTCTTACATTTTTCCTGAAAGTACTCAAAACGCTAATTGCACGCCTCACAACGTGAGGGAGTGCTCTACTCTCGATATGTGGCCATACCTCAGTTTCGCTACATAAAAATGTCCGCCATCTTGGATATGAAAATGGATGCCAGTTTCGTAATAAGCACCCCAAGAAACCCCGAAATTGATACCCATATCATATTATTAAAAAAATGTCCGCCATCTTGGATATGAAAATGGATGCCAGTTTCGTAATAAGCACCCCAAGAAACCCCGAAATTGATACCCATATAATAATTATAAAAAAATGTCCGCCATCTTCGAATGAAAATGATGCCAGTTTCGTAATAAGCACCCCAAGAAACCCAATTGATACCACAATTAAAAAATGTCCGCCATCTTGGATATGAAAATGGATGCCAGTTTCGTAATAAGCACCCAAGGAACCCCGAAATTGATACCCATATCATATTATTAAAAAAATGTCCGCCATCTTGGATATGAAAATGGATGCCAGTTTCGTAATAAGCACCCCAAGGAACCCCGAAATTGATACCCATATCATATTATTAAAAAAATGTCCGCCATCTTGGATATGAAAATGGATGGCGTTTTCGTAATCATCACCCCAATAAACCTTGAAATTGACATCCATATCCTACATATATAAAAAAATTACCGTCATCTTGGATATAAAAATAATTGCTATTTTCGTAATCAGCACACCGACAAACTTAAAAATTTACCCCTAAATCTTAGTATTTGATAAAAAAAACTTCGAAAGACCGAAGAAAGGCACTATAGTATGGTCTAAAACCTTAGCCTGTCCAACCACACGATTTAGATGAAGAAAAATCAGTAATTCCCAGCGACTAGTACCTATTTTTTACGTCCGCCATTTCTTTTACGTTGGCTATTTGGCATGACATGACAAAATATACATAATGTAAAAAATAATAACAATATTTATTTACCTTTCTTACGTGTGCGGAATTTGGTGAAATCGCAGATCTTTATTTATGCGAGATGACGACTTGCAATCTCCCACAGCACACGTCCTATGAACCATTTTAATTATAATTATCAACACTAAATTTAAAAATAATAAAAGCAAGCGCGCGTTAACCCTGGAACTGGAAGTAGTGTCCCGAGCTACTAATACGATTGGCATAAGCAGATCGGGCTCGTCCTTCCCGCGTCTCACCCCGCACGATTACCCCGTCTAGACGTCTTCGTCGGACGACTGTATGGATTTATAGACTGTGGTATTAGTGTCGGTCGAACCAGAGCAGTGTTGTTGGTAAAAAGTTGATAAACTCAAGTGAGATACTGACTCCTTCCATAGTTTGTGTAAAATTGTTATGAACTTAATTAGGTATCCATCTACTTATTTCACCATGTCACACAACATTTACAGAAAATGTGAAAAATGTGGGCGATCTCCGAAACAAGTGCCAGACATTAAATTGTCTCGGTTTCCTAAACCTGGGCCTAGAAATGCTATTCGGCAAGTTTGTTTGTACTTTCCATATACATATTGGGTATCGAATTACTCTAACTTCTACATTATAGTGTTTTTGTTTTACAACTACTGAAGCTCCTACATTACATATATACATTACACAGAATTCTGCTACATGTTTTTATGTACATACATTATATTTTCACAAATATATTGTGATGCCAAAATTAATTTAATTTAGTTTATTTGTTAAAATTTTTCTCTAAGGGACTCTTTACAATTTAAGTGTAAGCAAAACAAATATGGCTTCAATGCACTTCAATGTCAGTTGCTTATATGCTTATATTACCCCTGAATAGGAATATGATCTCCTTTTAATAATAAAATGCAGTGGTGGAGCGACGAGCCTAAGATTACCGAAGTCCAATTCCCCGGTCGAGCCTTAAACCTATTACGCGAGATATTAAACCAAAGTGGACTGTATATGCGAAATGCTTCTTAGTTTACCCAAAATGGCGACTATAGCACGCGGTTTCCCATACAATGCACTCGCTCTTCCCTAAAACGAAATATTATTTGCCAAATCTATGAAAGGAATCCTGCTTGATTAGGAGAAAATAAATTGGAGCGGACACAATTATATCAAGCAGTAACTAGTAAGGAATATTCACTCACCGGGGTGTTGCTTCTATGCGGC